TAGAGGTGTCTTGATTAAGGAGGTTAGTCCAGGTGCCTCTTCACTTTATCACCTAGACCTCAGATCGCACTCTTGCTATCTTTGAATGGTCTTACACAATACTTTGATCCTTCTCACCATCTGCGGCTGGTTATTTTTCAAACCAATTAGGCTCTGCACCGGATTGAGATATTTTAGGCTAGGGCTCTAACCACTGTTAAAAGGAGCGGATTAGGGTTGGATTAGGATGGAGTACAGCCCAGTCTGTACACTCAAATGCAAGGAGAGTCTTGATTAAGGAAGATGAGCACATGCCTCTTGGCTTACCATGTTGCTCAATTACCATTAGCATACTTCTGGCAATTATTGTGGCACCACTCGGATGATCGTCACACCACAACACCTTTTCCGGAGATCACAATTCCAATGTCCCACTGGATTAGCATGCGAATGACTTCCTATGGGAAACAGGGCTTAGCAGGTTATGGCCCCAGATACCATTTTTAATTCAGATCAACTGCCTTTACCTGAGGTTGAACTGGTATCTTGTGATCTGACCTGTGAAATGTTAACCACTACACTATAGACCCACAGGTCTAAAATATACAATATATCTTTAAATATATATATATATATATATATATTAATCTTGCAATCAGATTAATGTCATTTATTTATTAAATCATAAAGAACTATTATATATATGAGAACATATGCAAAGTATAAATTTCCTCGATCCAACTCATTTGTCAATAGTCAAAGCTTTTAAATACAATTTATAGGAGTAATATATTGTTTCCTTAAAGAATAGGATTAAGATTTTGAACTTTCAATAGGATTAAAACCTGCAAATCACTTCCACAGTCATGACCATAAATCCAAATTATGTCACCTCTCTTTTGTAGAAATTATACAAGGGAAAAAGGAATAAAAAAAAATTTTTTTGAGAAAGAAAAAATAAAAAAAAGCTATTATCTATTCTAACTATTATTGAAAAGGTTATCTTAGTGAACTTAAAACCCAAGCCCCTCATGATTTCTTACTTCTTACCACTTGTGGCTAGTCAAACTGTTTAATTTCTATTGGGGTAGTCAATGTCCAAGAACATTTAAGGATACTTCCAAGAGAATATTTTTTGAAACTTTATGCTTGAAGACTTTTAATTAGAAAGAATGTTGGTTTTCTATTGTTGATTTCTCTCCCAAGCCATGTCTTCTGGAATTATTGCTTTACTCAACTAGTGGATAGTTTCAAGATCTCTTTCTCCAATCATTTTTGAAATAAATATCGGTACTTCAACTTGTTACCAGATTGGGATAGGACCTAGATCTTGTTGTTACTTCCTATCCTTAAGAAAGAATAGAGAAGAAAAAGAAAAAAAAAAGATAAGAACAAAAGGGTTTGCTTCTCTTCTATCTACAACTTCTACTTCACCTAATACTTCTATACTACTTCTTTAATCTAAAACTGTCCAACTCTTTCAGGAACCAATTATATCATCAGTTACTGTATTGCATAATTGGAAACACATGAGGAGTATATATTTTGTTTATTTTTTCTGTGGCTGATGTGATTAACCAATCTGTGACCTTGATCAATCATTTTTCAAGAGATCCAGTGTGATCAAAAAATTTAGGATCAAACTGAAGTAGGCAAAATTTCTTAGAAAAATCAGAAAAAAAAGGAAGCATGCTTGAGAAAAAAAAAGTAGAAAGTCAAAAAAATGATAAGAAGATTAAGGACTTCTTTATTCTTGTTTTTCTGGATTCTTGAATTTTTTAAAAGTCTTTGAAAAGTATTTTTTCTTGTCAGTTTTCTTTCTATAAAGGTGTTTTTGTCATAGATCTTTTAGGTAGGTTTCTTGTGTTTAGTTGCAAAAATAAACAAGAAAAGTATTTTGAAAAGGAAAAAAAGAACAAGTGGTGATCACTGCTTGCTTTGCTAATTAGAAAACTAGTGTTGTTAAGAAAAGTGTATAGACTTTATTATCAAAAAAAAATAAAATCTTTTGAGAATGTTTATTTTTTGGATTGGCAAAAGAATCAGCAGAAAGAGTTTTCATATTTTTAAATATTATATTTTTATTATTAGGTTATTTAATATAAATTTATATGTCTCACTTGTATTATTTATTTATAGTATAGTGCAAAAGTCTTTAAACTAATATTTTTTATTATAATTCAATAAATATTTATTTAATTTAAATAAAACTTTAATAATAATTTTGTGATTCTAATAATAATAATAATAAAGTTTTATTATTAATTAATTAATAATTTTATTATAAAATAATAATTTTAAAGTTTATAAAATTAATTTTAAAAATTTTCATTTAATTTTACTTTATAAAAATTTTTTTAATTGATAAAAAAATTATAAAAAAATTGGGTTTTAATTTTTTTTTACTTTTATTTAACAAAACTATATATTAAAATAATTTTGTTAATTTTTTATAATTTGTAATATATAATAGAATTTTGAATATAGTTTTAAAATATACTTTTAACTTTGAATCAAAGTTTAATTATATTGTTATAATATATTTAAAAAATTTTCTTAAGTAATCTTATTCTGTTGATTTATAAATAAAATTAAAAATTAAAAATAGTTTAAAAACTTTTGCACTATACTATATATTATTAATTTATATTTAATTATTTTTTTTTTTAATTAATACGATTTTTTTTATATTGTTATATTTTTTTAAAGCAGACAATATAAAAATAAAGTTTATTTAAAATATAAATCAAAACATATTTTTGTTTTTAAATTGAATTTTATTAAATTTAAATTTTTTTTTACTGTATGTTAAAAATTTTTATTCTTTTAAAAAATTTTGTTTATTTCAATTTGATCTTGAAATTTTAATTCTATTAAATTTGTTAGAAATTAATAGGTCAAATTTTGAATTGAACAATAGTTATATATAAAATAAACAGACAAACAATAAGATATATTGTATATTGTAAATATTATTATTAAAAGAAATATAAAAATCAAATTGCTTTAAAAAATTTTAAAATTAGAATAATTTATAATAGAAGAATATGAAAAAAAAATTCAAATAGAATCATAATTAATTTTATAACTCAATAAAAAAATACATGAATTGGTAATTAAAAAAAATAATAATAAAAGAATTAATTATTACTGTAATTATATATTAACAAAATTATTAGATTTAAGTTTCATTTTAATATAATTTTTATTAATTTTAGGCAATGATTTTTGAGTAATGAATAAATAAAAATGTCAAAAAAATTTTGTAATGTACTGTATATTAAGATTAGCAATATCCAAAAATTATAGAATCCAAAATTATTTAAAATCATTAGTAATTAAAATAATATAAAATTAATATAAATCTTGGATAAAAATCAAACGTAATGATTCTTCTTTATTAAGCTATAAGTTCTATAGATTTCTTTTTTATTAAAGTAAAATAATTAGGAGTGAGATATTGGATTGAATATAATACAGTATATTTGATAAATTTCTCTTTTTAAAAAGATAATATGATTTTATGGTTATCAAGAAATAATATTAATCATTTAGTACTATTGAAAATAGATTAAGATAATAAGTATACGTAAGAGTTATTATTATCTCTTCTTTTGTAATAATCACTAGAGTTTCTAATAAATACTTAGAAGTTATATTTTAGTGCAAGCTGAATTCCTGGCGAATCATGCACAATAGGAGGTTCTAAAATATCAATATTCGTCTTATTGTGATAAGATTTTTCTCAATGCATAGCCCGTGAAAGGGATGCCCACAGCTGAGTACTGTGATTGTCTTCGGAAGGAGCATTAAAATTTGATTATAAGCGAGGCTTATATAATTAACAAGAGACCGTTTGTAAGGCTCCGAAATCTTGCTTTTTTTTTTACCACCGTCACCATTCATCAACAATATCGATTAGGTCCTCCATATTGATATCTTCAGTAGTAATCGGGATTTTGCCTTCCGTATTAACTGAATTCATTCGGTTTTCCATGATAATTTTATCTGAAAAAAAAAGTAATTTCTTGCTTGTTTTATAGTGCAGTTAAATGCCCGGGAGAAATCAATTCCTGGATCTTCACTAGTAATTACGCGCTGCATTTCGTCATTTATCAACCCCTTGCAAATCAATGAAAATGACGAAGGATTAACAGGGCCGCATACAACATCCCCAAATCCCATTGATTTAAGGCATGCCGGGTTTAGGAAAAGAGTCGCGAAATTGGAAGAGAAGCAGCGCAGAACGTAATAATGAAAAACTTTTACATGCGTTACAAGTATCGCGAAAAACATAATCTTATTAATAAAACAACATTTGGATATACAGTATATATTTTTTGGACCTCAAGTTCAGCATTCTTGAACTCGAGAGCCCACTTATCTTAGCCATGAATCTGGCATTTCTTCTCTAAGTCAAACTCGGATTTCATAACACTTTTTATGCAAGCATCTAAAATAAATGCAAATCTTACGTCGCACAGCCCCCTATTCTTCGCAAGAATATTTCCGATACCGATTCAGACTACCGCAGCCTCTTTACGCCTTATCTCTCTAGTATTAAATTTAAGCAATACCCCCTATTATCATCCTCATATGTGTACCTCAATTATCTGTCTCTTCATCATAGTAGTAGGTTTTTCATAAATGTTAGGCGTAATCAGGATATTTTTTTCAGTGAAATATTCAGTAACGTGCTCTTGACAATTTCTCCTTTATTTCATTAATAACATTCTTCTTATGTACCTCACCTAAAAAAGATTCGACAGTAACATACAGATCTATAACGGAAGATATATTAACGTGATCTAAAGGTATTGAATCGAAATCCTTATATATAAGGGTTAACAGTATTATGTTCAACAGAGTGATCAGAATGAATCCTCAATAGATGGCGAAATAGATTATTGTGAATGAATTGGAGACATTGGTATGTATGTATTGCTTTGCGCCGAAATATTAACTACGTTGTTCTTTTTGATTTCCCCGATATAATTATCTAATTTAGCAATAAGGGTGGTCTTTTCTTTACCTCTCTGTTCTACGTTCGTGAATCTGACTTCATGTTTTCAAGGCATACTTTAACTTTACATTCCCAGCCTTATCTTCGGCATTCTCCTTTCTAAGTTCAGTAATCTCAGCTAGGTTATTTTATTAACGAATTAATCTCGGCCTGCACGTTTTGATA